TGTTCTCTTTAGAACAAAGATAGAATGGTTGCAGCTGAAACTGGTTAATAGCAACTTCCTGTTAACCTAGAAAAGCATGTTGTTAAGTTGCCAAAGTGCTTTGTTTTGAACATTCATCAGTATTATAATCAAAAAGAGAAATATGCACATTAGTTTTTACTGAAATGATCAAATAAAGTCAACATTTCACTGAGCTGTGTGGGGTTTGTTCAACTTTTAAAAGATGTTTGAATGGTGTTATACACCATGATAGATGTTAAGGACTAACGTTTATAATTTTTAAGATATTTTCATACAATCACACGTATTGGGATCATTTGTATTAATGTGGACCGGAGGGAGAGGGTGACGAGCATAAGTTTCACTTTCCTTTTTTATTTCAATTACAACTTTGGTCATGAAGAATATGTTTCTCTGTTGTCCACGTTCATAAAGCATAAAGCAGCAGCATCACAGCACGGTGCAGAGTCTCTAGATGAGTCCCTCGTTCTTATTAAACATCCATGTTGTAGTCCGTTGTATAGAACACTGTAGTTTCCATAGTTTCCCAACAGCAGCAGACATACACGATGACGTCCGCTGGCGCATCATAAACACGTCAGATAGTGAAAGTGCATTCGGATTCTCTAAAGTACCGCAGTCTCTTCTCCTAAGTCCTTTTGAATTCTTCTATCCACTATCCCTTAACCCCGTGACGTTTCACTCAGAGGTCAAGGAATAGGAGATAGGGTTAGAATTTAGGAGCTGATTTTTGGATTATCGGAACGCAACCCCTGTCTTCTGCACAGCTAATCAGCAGCTGGCCGGTATCTGCCTGTGCACCTGAGTCTGATGGCTGATTGGATCCTCTCACCCTCAGATGGCCTATCAGCAGCCAGGGCCGACCATAAAGGAGGCACCCAGGAAGTCTTCTCGCTCTCTCTCACCCTGGGCCTGTTGCTGATGAGGAGTCTGCAATTGACTGCCTTGTTTAGAAAGCCATTCTACTTTGTTTGTTCTAACCTTTGATAAATGTGTGTGTGTTGAGAGGTGGGGGAGTTAGGTAAGTCTGGGGTACCCTGTACATTTCTCATCACTTAGCTAACTAATGTTAAGACACACTAGGTTAGCGGATTGTTGCCACACCTGTATTCTGTTTTATCCAGTTCTGAGTAGTTGAGTTTTGGTTTCAAATGATAGATGTAGAAATAGGCCTGGTTTTGTTATGCTTATTTCTTTTGTTTGGCACAATCTCCTTTGACTCCTCCTCCTCCTCCTCCTCCTCACACAAAGAGTATTTCTGTTAAACTTCTGTTCAGTTAGGTTGTTCAAGGAATAAACCTTTTGTCAAACTTTACGCTGACTCCCTCATAATTATTGGTTGTTGTGTGTTATTGTCTCCAGGTCCCCTAGACCTTAGTGGGGACGTAACAACATATTTGCATTCCATTTAACCGCCTCGCAATGTATCGGTACATTCGTGCTCCGCATGTTGACCAACAACAAATAAAGCTGTTCTCTTCACGTTCCTCTACAGCATTGTTCTCATTCAAACTGTGTGTGCATTGAATTTACTCTGTAATGCACTCAGTAATAGCAAATGTGGTCCCACTCTCTCACAAACACACACATATAACACTCTGTGGCTGTGCCCTACGCACACAAACCCAAATTGTTGAGCTTGTACCCCTGCCGTCCTTGTAGGTGATGAGATAAAGCAGAGACTCCGCTGAGCTCGCGCCCCCGGTCACTGCAACCCTGAGAGACACTTCCATATGTGTGTCAGCTCTCATATCTGAAAGGCTCCTGAGGACTTTTGTGTAGCCTAGTTCAGCTGATGCGGGGAGGCGGGGAGGGGGGGAGAGGGCACTAAAGAGCGCTCCTGGCACAAAGAAAAAATCCAACCCCATTTTCTATTTGGCCTTAAATCACGAATACAAAAATGGCAAGGCTTTTCGTTGGTTCAGGAAAAAAATGATTGAAGGAAAACTTTGACAAAGAAAGTCCAGAAAGTCCAGCTAAACAGACGTGGTGACTATAAAGAGAGGAGATGGTCGACTTTCTGTAAATCAGTGAAGCCAGAGGGTTATTCCGCTGTCTCCAGGGAGGACATGGAGACATTGTGGAGGATTTCAGCTTGTTTTAAATGTTGATCGATAACATATCTTGGTGTTTTTGGAAAAAGATTTGCACAAAAAGAGGATTGTAAATTTCATATTTTCACAATTACTACAAACCATGGTACAGTAGTCTCACTGCACAAGAGTCATGAAGTATATCTTTAGAAAAGTCATTAGAAAAGTAAAAGCTTTGTATTGTGATAGCAAAGACAATCAACATATATATATATTAAACATTTCCTTAGAAAACTCATAATATAGTATGTCACAAAAATGTCAATAAAAACATGCGGCATATCATTATAAATCTCCTAAAAAAGCCATGGTATAGTTAGTATGTAATCAAAAATGTGTACAAAAGTCATAGAGAATGCATAAAAATGTAATAAAAAGAGTGCGTTATTAGAAATGTAATTAATAAATGTAAAAAAGTAAATAAAAATAAACAAAGTATGGTTTGTCATAACAAATTCATAAAAACTCATAACGGAGTTCTAACAAAATTATAATAATAGTATTTGATTTTTGGATCCCAGCTACCACTGACCTCACTGAGCCAGCTCGCACCTACATTTAAAGTCCAGCCCATTCAGGAGGTAGAGGCAGTGCGTGGGGAATTCACTGATTGCTTTAAGGGATGGATAACCCCTGAGCAGAAAGGAAATACTTATTCAGAGGGAAATTGAATCTAAAGTGTAGGGCATAAGCGGTGAATCAGCACTAGTCGATAAAAACAAGGAATATTCTCATTAAGCGGCATCGAGACTTCAGAAGCTACATTGATGCGATCATTAATTAATGTACAAGTGTTCAATAGTGCTGAAAACCTTAGTGAATGCTTAGATAGATCGTTGCAACAATCTTTTTCACTTGTGATCCTCTAATTAGAACAAACAAACAAAAAGATGAAGTTGTGAAGCTCAAACAGAACCTGAAGTCTTACCTCACATCCTGCGCTGAACAGTTAAATCTTCCTCTGTGATCTGTGAGGCCCTGTGCAGGCTTCCCCTCTCCAACCCATGGAGCTCTGAGCATCAATAAATGTCTGATGAACACCAAGCTGCTCACCGGCCGCTTTCCCAATTAAGTCTCGGTGTTTACAACCCTGTCACAGAGAGACTCTAACTGGGACAACTGGGCTGTGCCTCCCTCTTATTCAGATGCCTGCCAGGGCCTGTTAACTTTCTGGATTCAGTGAGATGTAAAGAGACTCTAGGAGTGCATGGGAGGCTGGGGACGGCTCACAACGCCGCTTTTCATCAGCTTCACCACGTCACTCTGTGCTCAATCCTGTGGAGAGCTGCGGAGGCATTACTGGATGGATGGAGTGAAGAGAGGGGGAGAAAAAGGAGAACATATTTTCTGATAATTACGCAGCATGTTCAGCCTTTGATTGATTCAGTAGGCAAAGGGAAAACGAAAATATTTCTATGTAAATAAAAGTATGTAGCATTAAGTTCTATTTAACTAAAATACATAATTTTTCATGATGTAGTTTTGGGTATATCTTTGTCACGATAATTTTTTTTCACTTTTTATTCCTCATTTGCTAATGGAATAAGATTGCAATTATGTAGATTTAGCAATTTGGCAGACTCAAGAAAAGTCTTCAGGAAAGTTCACACCAGTACTGTTGTAGAGAAACCATCATACAGTAAGCTTCAATTAACTACAATGTGCAAAAACTGAAATCAATGAAGCTTGATGAAGTGGTTACATGATTGCTGCTAATGTACACATGCTGTATGAAATTGGTCTTTTGCATTTGTACACAAATTGACTCTCATTCTAGCTAACTACATCATTTTTAACCATAACACATTATTCTGTCGTTAAAATCAACTTCTCCTAATTGGTTTCGAGATGAGATTAGATCTAACTTAGCCTACAAAGTTCAAGTCATTTTTGCCACCCAGGCCTGTTCAGCTGACTGAGTGGTCAGTGGTTTCGCTCTTTATCGTGGTCCTCCAGCTGTTAGAGATTTAAAAACAGGAACTTGTTAAGATTATGCAATATATCCTGTCAAATTACATGAAATACATACATGGTTCCAACAAAAATAATAGAAACAGTTATCATTTTTGATAGTATCAGCAGCCCTAACTGGCTCATTAATTGAAAAATGTTATTAATCACCTTTCTGGATAAAAAAAAAACGGGTGAGTGACATTTCACCCCATCTGCTGGTTGGAAAAAAGGACAATACTCCTACTGTACTCAATATGTATTACATGTGTGTTAACTTAATGAACATTATTGCTAGCAACAACACAGAAAAGTCAAACTCTTTACACACACAGGGAAAAGTTTGAGATGTTTCCATCAAGACTAACTTTCATCCCAGCTGTACAGCGCAGTGTGAACACAGCACCGTGGCAGCAGAGTCATAAACACAGCAGGGTTTGTCGTCTCTTCATTTAATCAGACAGTATAATCATGTTGTGTCTTTTTAATCGTCCAACATCACACATTTTAAACTCAAACCACGGCCCCCTGTTGAGCTCCGTCTTTGGTTAAAGGACAAGTTACACACAGTACCTCTTCAGGGTTTTAGTTTGCAAGGAAAGGGATAGAAAACCTTCCTTCTGAAAGGGAAAAGCAGGGAGAAGTTTCTGAAGCTTCTCGGACAAGTTTCTGTTAAAGGGACACTCTTTATGACGGACAGAGAACATGGCAAACTGTGAGCATTGACGCAGCTGTTCAGGGTTTTCTTTTGATAAAGGCTGAACATGAGCTTATCTCTCTGACCTTTACCACTATAAAGTGCTGTGTTGCTCATTTATTTGTGTCTGACTAATGTATTCACAAACCCTATGCAGGCTCATTATTTACCAAGTGGATTCTGCTGACCACACATTTGAATGGATAATTAATAGATAATTAGAAGAGGCCGTAATTAAACAATGAATCTCAGAAAACTGCTGAATTGAGAATTATAATGTATATTTTTATCAAATATGTAGCTTCTGTCATGCATTGTGTAGCTGTGCACAGTTTTGTTCAAAAAAGTTGTGTGTAACCTACGGAAGCCCATTTCCATCACTGAGAGGACATTTTTGATGACTTACTAAATCATTATGATGACTTTATGTCATTATTTTTTGACTAACTGTGTAATTATAATTAACACTCATTATTCAGAATTATTATCTCAATTAAAATGAGATAATAATTAATTTAATAGTTTCTTGACATAATTAACTCAAAAATAACGACCTAATGGACCTGCTTTCAGCAGTTGGGCTGCCGCATGCACTTGACAGCTCAAACACATACATACATGCAAACCTTTCCAAATCCAAAAGAGGTAGGTTTGCGCGCGGCAAATGTGCACGCCCAAATTAGGTAATCAGAAGAAATGGAACCCCAGTAATTATGTCATACCATCTGACAAAGGCCTGTGCTATAATGCTTCAATTAACTGGCTATTCTTTATAATATACTCAGATCAATAGGAGACAGAGATGTTAAGTTATAAATCAAGGGTTTTTATTATTATTTACAGCAGGGATGGGGAACCTTTTTCCTTTCAATTTTTACAACCTCCTCCGAGGGCCGTACAAATTATTGAACTCAACCTTTGCTTAAAAAAACTAAAATCACACGGTGTGGCATGACCACCAAAACAGAAAGATATGGACACAAGATGTGTGCAAATGTATTTAGTATCCATGTGAACATGATTTAAGTGGGGGGGACCTAACCTCCTCTAGGGGGGTCTGGGGGCATGTTCCCCCGGGAATATTTTTTTTAAATATTGAAGTTAAAAGCATCAATCTGGTGCACTTTGAGAGCAACATGAGGAGATCTATGGGTACATCTTTCAACACCCATTTGAAACAGAACTGTAAGCAGATTTTTCTTTTTGGATATTTTACAAATCACTCCCCTTTTAAACTCTATTCTTGTTATTTTTAACACTTTTTTGTTACTGTCATATAGTATTTTATACCTGTTTTTCATTTAGTCTCTAATGTCTCATTAATAATTATAATGATCATATCAAGGTGTGCCTTAACCTCACTGAGCTGAGGTTATTTGAGCCTCTCAGGAGAGAGCTCTCTTCCACCTGGTTGTAGAAAAGCTCTTTAAATTCGTTAGCATAGCTAGCTAACCAGATGCTAATAACAACAGATC